ACCCCCAGAGCCTCCTGTAGAATCCTCAAGTTCAGCCCAGGGACATATTTTGGACTTCTGGCCTCCAGAACTGTGAGGAAGCAAGTTTCTGTTAGGCCACCATATGTGGCCATTTGTTATAGTAGCCATGGGAAACTTACACACCCTCTAAATAAAAATCCATCCCCATCTGCCCTTTACTTCTAAAGTAATGGCACACCTCCTCAACAGGGTCTATGAAAGAGTGACCACAGGGGTATCCCTCCTGGTGCTCTTGAGAGTGACAGAGGTGTTGACCACTGCCCCCCAGCTCACCCTACCCTCTCCTTCAGAGTCTGACAACCTGTAGACTCCACCCAGCAGCATCAGTCTGTGGTGTTTGCAGTCACCCTCTCCTGGCACGCCCCCTCCCTATCTACCCGGGTAACGTCAGCCCATTCTTCCGAGTGATACTGGGATGTCTCCCCAACTGCTCTAAGTCAAATGCCGATGAATCTGCACTTGAAGAAATGTGCTCTCCCTCCAGAGCACACGGCATCAAGCTTAGTTTACATTCCTGTATCATTAACACGTTTCTCTGTCTCCCCTATAAGCTGCAGGTTCTCTGAGGGCACTAACCATGTCTATTTGGGTTTTTTTTCCCTCACTACTCTAGTCCCTGTGCCCAGCAAGGTGTGGGCACATTGTTGGAGCTTAGAAGGTAGTCACTGATAGAAAATGGCGAAGGGGAGTGAGGTAACCCAGAAGAGAAAGGGAAGAGGGGAGTGATAAATACGGACCTGCCCTGGCTCAAACTTTCAACTTACAGAAATGGAGTTATTATCTGTGGCACTTTGATATCTACAGGAATGACTGGTACTAAAGGCTTCCTTCTAAGGAACCTTTAGTGCCTGACCCATGTCCTCCCAATACTTGAAAATAGTTCCCGCAGCATTGCATGTTCACTCAAAGTATGTGGTTTTTGATATTTGTGGAATGAATAAATGGACAGATGGAAACATGACGGAGAGAATAATGAATAGACGGAAAGAAGGATCAAATGAGGAATAAAAAGATGGGTGGACGGAAATAATGAGGAATGGATGGATGGAAGGATGAAACGATGGATGGATGGATGGATGGAAGGACAGATGGATAGATGGGTAGGTGGGTGGATGGCAAGATGAACTGGTTGATGGATTAGATGGAAAAATGGATCAACGGAATAATGGATGGGTGGGTGGCTGAATGGATAAACAGAATGAGATGAACTGACTGAGGGGTGGTTGGATGGATGATGGGGGGTGAATGGATGGAAAGATGGGTTGGTGGACAGGTGGAAAGAACGACGGATGGATGGGTGGGAGGGTGGAGGGGAGAATGATGGATGGATATTGAATGGGTGGATGGAGTTATAGCTGGATGAACTGACGACAGGCGGGTAGATGGATGACTCATGAGTGGACGGATAAATGGATGAATAAATGGATGAATAAGAAATGTAATGTGGCATATGCCTCTACAATAAGACATTTTTGGTGTTTTTATTTTGCCTATTCATTTTTCTTGGATCTTAGAAGGGAGATAAATTAAACAGATCCTCAAACCGGGAATTCTACTTTTGTATGCACATAAGCCATTTTTCTAATTAAATGAAGAACTATTTAAAGAATAAGTATTTTTTTATTAAAAATAATAAAAGTATATTTTTACTTAACCCTTTATTTTTTCCCCCAAACTCATTTTATCTTATTTTATTTATTTATTTAGAGAACAGGATTTATGGAAAGGACAGAAAGCTAGCACAGCAGGATGGGACCCAAAGGGGTTGCCCTTTACTTAACTCTTTAATTCAGAGAAAACAAAACTTAGTGAACTCTTCATTCCTCAGCCTTTTGTGACAGTTGAAATGGAAGCCGGGCTCGGTGGCTCAGCCTGTCATCCCGCGCCTTTGGGAGGCTGAGGTG